AGGCCGCGTTGTGGGAACGCTTCCAAGCGGTCTACGAAGAAGTGCTCACGCCAGAGGTCTGCCGCGATCTCATTTCATCGATGCCGCGCCGCATTCAAGCTGTGATAGATGCCAATGGTGGTTATACCAAGTACTGAAGTGGAGCGAAGGCGCTGCGACACGTTGTTTGTGTGCCATGTAATGCTTTGTGAAAATTGGGCAAAAAATCCGCTCTTTTTCTGTTTTTTTGAGTTTCATTTTTGTCTGTTCTCGCTTCGAATCTTAACTCCCAGCCCGCTGCTTCACTTCTAAAATGTGTCTGGTACACCGTACCATGAATGAACATTCCGCGGGCGAGACGGAAAGCAACACAGGTCCCAGGGAGGGCGAAAAAGTGAAAAAAGAGGGGGGGTCGAAATTTAATGATCGGGATAGTATAGTGGAGCTTGCTTGATTTGGTTGATTCTTTGCGTGACTCGAGTTGAATTTTTGTGCTTTTTGTGCACACAGTACAAATTTGACAATGTCAACAGCATTCCACATTCATGTTGTATTGCTGATGAACAAGCATCTCTCTACTCACGCTTTGTCACGTTTTACGAGGGCGGCAGAAGTGTGGTGAGCGATAATGACATGCAATCTTGCAGTGCAAGGAACGTTTTCAAGGAACTGTCATCTTGAAACCTTGAGCGAATTGCTCCAGGTCGCCGCGGTGCATCACCCACGAAAGCGGTGGCGGATTTGCAATCCTCACTCGAGACGCCAACATGACTCCGACAAGAATGACAGTGTCTTTTTTCCTGACATATTCCTTGGCGAGTTCCTTCCGAGCATTTGTTTCCAGCCTCTCAATCTCGTCTTGGGTGGTGAGACGAGACTTGTGATGCTTTACTTGCAGTCCAAGGACTGCCGGACGCACTTTGCCGCTCGTCTGCAATCACATTTTGCCAACAACAACCGTGAGTAAAGATCCAAACCACAAAAGGGCGGTAGGGTTTGGCAACTTACTTTCTCGACGACTTGAGCATGCATGCAACAGTCAATAGCCGGCTCAATGTGAGTCGCGAGTGTACATTCATCATTGTCGATCTTTGTCATGCACGTCAGGTCTTCCCTCCAATTGCTCAGTGGCAACCGAAGTTGGAGTTCCTCACATCCCGCACCAAACTTGACGCCAGGTAGCACCCGACTCAGCGGTACGTCCATGTGAGCCGGCAGCTGTGGTGCACCAGTCTGGTCTGATGCGTCAAGCTGTTTTGAAGCGTCAAGCTGCTTCGAAACGTCAGCCTGATCCAGCAGTGCTTTGGCGACAAGTACAGTCAATCGCAAGTTGAAAAGGATGCCCACAGTATGCTCCCACTCAACTGCAGGAAGATAACGCTGCGTGAAATGATGCTCCATCTTGCGCTGAAGGTCGGCGACATGGCCGTAGGCCGAGCGCACCGTTTGTGCGAGCGTGTCACGTCTTAGTGGGGCGTCACCCGAAAGAAGATCTGCAAACACTCAACGAGCACGTCAACTTGTCGTTTCTCAGGTCACAAAAGCAATTCCAGAAATCCTCACCAAGTTTCGACTCGCTGGGCAAATTGAACTGCAACGACCCTCTGCTGTCCTTCTCGCACGCTGTTGTTTGTCGTCAATAAGGCGGAAGGAGTCAACACAACAATCAGTCAAGTCCAGCATCTTGAAGTGTGACAACCAGCCAACTGACCGACGAAAGCACATCCTGTGTCAATCCAAGAGCGAGTTCGGGCGTCCAGACTTGAAGGGTTGATCGAGAACGCGTCGAACGCACAGAAGTGCACGAGCTCGATAAACGTGCGGGCATTCAGACAGAGTTTAGCCGCCGCGCCGCTTGCCATCACACCAAGAACCTTCTCAATGTGGCATGGTATGCCACCGGAAGGATGCAACTGGCTCTCGAGGTTTGCATCCACGCGCTGGGGTTCAGGCACCTCCTCCTCGTCCACGTTGAACTTGCTTGAAGTTGAGGTTTGAGATTGGAGCGACTCAATCAGGCCAGTGGTGAGGTGGTCGGACAAAGTGCCAGCGTAAGCACAAAGAGTCGCGCTGCGGGGCGCTTCACTGCAGCCTTGAGTGACGCGAGAGTCTTGTCCAGCAAACTGACGTTGACGTTGAGCGTTGTGCCAGCTCGAACAGCCAAGCAACTGTTGAATTCCGTCAACAGCGATGGCAAGCCACGGCAGTTGATCATGACTCGTGGGCTGCTGATTGTCGTTACGAGCCGAGTACTCAAACTCTTGGATGAACTGGAGCGTAGCAGCGACCTGGAAGCTGCCAGTTTGTTCAAAGTTGTCCTGAAAAAACCTCGGGGGAATTTCAAAGTAGGCAGCCAGCAGGCGAGTCGACAGAGCGTGCTCCGGATTGGCTTGCTTGAGAACTGTCCAGTCGTTTGCAGAGTTGAAACCGGAAGGACCGTCGAAAGAGACGGATAAGCACAACAGATCGTTTCCTCTGTACCGATGAGCTGCCGGGGCAATTTGATGCACAAACGCGTCACACAGACACGAGTTCCCTGTACCAGGGATTGTGGCAGCAAGAAACGACCGATGTTCAAGTGGATCGGTGTCGTTTGCGATCGTCTTTTTCATCCGTTTCAGCAGCAGCGCCTCGATGGAGGAGGACGTTCTCTCCAGTCGTGTGTAGCTGTCCTGCAGAGCAGCACCATTAGACAAACTTCACAATTCGGTCATCGAGCTCGACTAGAAACGTACGTTTTTTGGTTGCTTTCGCTCCAATGTGATCAGGCCACGGAGCGAATCGCGGATCATGGCTGGCGTGCTTTTCAGCTCTCCTGTTGTTCCAGCATGCGTTCATGAGCGCACACACACACACACACACACACACACACACACACACACACACACACACACACACACACACACACACACACACACACACACACACACACACACACACACACACACACACACACGTACCATTGCGACTGGACAGAATAGAAGCCAGCCAAGCCCAAGCTGTCGCCAAAACCGGCTGGGTTTCGTTGCCCTCATCGCCGTCCTCATCGTTGCTTTGCTGTTGAGAACAAAAAATACAAGGTAAGAACAATGGTTGCCATCGTCACAGGCTGTCAAAGCATGGCACCACTGCGGTGAAAAATTTCAAGCACGTCAGGTCGGCAAAAGAAAAAACAAACGAAAACAAAATGGCGCGCAACTGCCGAGACACCTTTGAGAGCTAAGTGTTCTCACTCACCCTTCGCACCCCAGAACCAGTTCGTTGAAAGAGCTCGTGTAGAAGACGAGAGGGGTACACTAAAACAGGTCTCGGCCCACTTACGGTTCTGACACGCTTGTCGACGTGACCTCCAGGAGAGTCCACTGCTTGACGCTTTGAAGAAGGCGAAGAAGATGTCACCAAGGCGGGCTTGGAACCAGCCGAACCCATCGCAAAAACTGAAAAAAAAATTGATTGAACCGACTAGTCAAAGTGATTTTTGTTTGTCGGCATCGTGTCGTTTATGGCGTGTTTGCTTCTTTTTTTCCAGTTTCATCATGACGACGAAACTCGAAATGTTGAGATACAGTTGATGTTCGTGGACGTGTTTGTGTTTTTCTTTCGGTTCGTTGTGATTTGTGTTTTGTCTTCAAACGCAAGCTCCCTTCAACTTCACCCCAATGTCACGTCACTCACTTGCCTCGCTCTCAATCATAGTGTCGCTCTAATGTGCAGGTCGACCAGTCGCACACAGCGGCGCCGGCGGATCAGGCGCCCGGCACGTCAAGTTGGAAACGGCTGGTCTCGCATTGCCGGAAGTCACGGAGCCGGACGACTATCCCTGGTGCTCGACAACGACGAGGGCTGGCGGCACACTGCTGCACGAAGTGTTGGCAGTGAAGAACACTAGCGAAGGCACCATGCTTCTGCTACGACGTCATGGCTGGTCAGACTACAACATCATCGCACCCTTCCTCGCGACGAGTTGGACCAAGCTTTTTTTTTTTGTATTAAGTTTATTGGGAGGAGAGAGTGGAAAAGCATCAAAATGCTCAAAAACCACGGAGAAAGGAGCGGGAGCATGGACATGGGTGTAAGGAGCTTGGAGACACAAAATTGGCAGAGAGCCATGTCTGGTCATACGACATAGCATTAGCGAGCCTGTATGCTCGTGCACTACAGGCCTTGGGAAATTTATATCCATTGAAGAAGGGCGGGAGGAGACAGGGAAGCGACGATGTCGGTTTGTGGTTAGTTCGGTTCTCCAGCGGTTTCAAAGTTGGTTCCGCGAACGGCTGACGCGCCGAGGCGCGTCTAGAAATGCCTGTGGGTCGCAACTAGCAACCTGAAATAGCCAAACCAACAACATGACATAGCGAGTGTGTCGCGGCGGGGAGGTGATCAGTGTGAAGCATAAGGCTTCGTCCGAAAGTCAATTCGAGTTGCGGTTCCAGTGATTCGCGAGGGTTCCATGAAGCGGACAAACGCGACTGCGTGTCCAGAAGGTGCTTGTGGGACGCGCAGCATGAACCAAGCTGTAACAGACAACAGCAAATGACTCGTCATCGAAATGACGCGGAGAGGAGGGGGGGGGAGAAATGTTGGTGAAGAGGGCTGGAAGGTATTACCAGGAGTCGTCCCAAATTGCAATGCAATTTTTCAACCAACAAAAGAAGACTCTGGACCAAGCTAACCGCCACAAGACCGCTGCTCACGGTGAAATGGGTCTCACACAGCGCAAAGAAAACCCTGCTTGCCAACGGCAGGTGGAAGCCCCAGGCAACCGATACGTACTTTGTCGGCTATGGGTTTGACGCGTGGATCGACCGGAGCGTGCTGATGTTTCATGGGCAAGGCCTCACACCACTGCCAGTCGTGCACAAGGATACAACACTCAAGGCCATCCGCAAGCGTTTGACAGCCACCCCCGAGCCCTCGCGCGCACTGCTTGAGTGGGACAGGATCATTGACTGGAACTGGAGCGAAATGAAGGCTGTGCTCAACACCAACCTGGTCACACGCAAGCAGGCTTCACTGGTGTGGCGGATCGCACACCAAACCGAGTGGACGGGTGAGCAACAGCTTAGAGCCGACATCGAGAAGGGCAAAACCAAGCAGGAGACCTTGATGCAGAGAGCGTTAGGTACCTACGCTTGTCCACACTGCCGACGAGGAAACGCTCGCCCCACCGAGACTTGGATCCACCTGATTTACGAATGCCCGGTAGCTGAGCACATCTGGCTTAGAGTCGAGCAAGTTATGGTTGTCGCACACGATCTTGGCACGCCGTCCTCGGCAGCCCATGCACTCTTCGGACCTGCCCACAACCCCACACTGCCACGAGGATATCGACGCAACAGACCTGCTTTCAGATTGCTGACGACCCTCTACCACTTGGCGCGTTGGACCATTTGGCGACTTCGGTGCTTGGCGAAATTCGACAGTTTGGACGCGACACCAGAAATAGCGACCCCAATGTTCGATAAACTTGTTTCCAACAGAGCTTACGAGGACCTGACTTTGAGGAGGACAGAAGCGATGCAAATGTGGGGCGCGTGCGCCAAGGAAACGGCTTCCGGCAAATTTGTCTTTGAACTTGAGCTTCACGATGCCGCGGCATCGGGGGCGTACTGAAGGGCCAGACTCAAATACGGGCCCATTTCGTTGAACT